CTCTCCTTAGAACAGCCCCACCCCTCACTCTCTGCCGCCCCGCCCATCAACCCGCTCCCCCTCAGAGCTCCTCCCCTCCTTTCGGGCCCCGCCCACACTGGGCGCGCGCGGAGCTGCCCTTCCACCTGCAGCCTCTAGGTTGACAATAAAAGTCATCCATAGCCCGCGTGCTCATCCTTGGGCCGGGACCGTGACCGCACAGTTGCCGAGACCGCGGTTCGGCTGTGGGGGGAATTCGAAGCCCAGGGGAGTAAATTATGACGGCGAAGAGTGCGCGAGAGTACGGGCGCGCGGCCGACAGCGGTAGGCCCTCATGGCGATTGGCGCCTCGGCCCAAGATGGCGGCGCCCACCTGTGGGCCGTACAGCGCCGCTCTCAAGATGGCGGCGCTGGCGTGCTGCACCCCGTAGGGCCTCTCCACGCTTGTCTGGACCCAAAATGGCCGCCCACTGCGCCGGCACTTGAGGGCGGTGCCGCGTACCCTGGAGGTCTGCGCGCACGGCGTGACTGCGGGAACCTAGTCTCGCGGAGAAAGACGTCCTCTGGGTAGTGACAGATGGGCGCCCTCCTGCACCGCTGTGGAGCTGTTTCCCAGCAAAGCTAGGCTGGTGGTGGTGAGTGGATAAGGAAGGGGTGACCCGAGTCCGAGGGGCTGGCACCCCGCTTCCCGCACCTTTACGGGGACAGTGAAGGGATAGAGTGGATAAAAGCCACCCCGCGGCTGAGCCTGGCCACCCGTGGACCTGGGAAAGCTTGGGAAGTCTGCCTTCAGAAACAGCATTCATCGGCGGTCCCAGAAGTTACCTAATGAATTCCCTCACTCCAGAGATGAACAGAGAAAGGGAGCCAATGACTCACCTGGAACGGGGACCAGCCTCTGTTCAGGACCTCAAGAGTCTCTGGAGGCCCAGGTCTGTCCTAGTCCCTTCGCTGCTGCACCTCACACAGACCGGGAAACCAAGACCTTTCCTTTCCTACCGCATCAGTGCTGGCAGATTTAGGGGACGAAGTGAGGATATTCACATCAGCTCATACTTGATAAAAAGCTACAAGTGCTCAGGTGTAACCTTGATTTTGGGCTTTAAAAAAATTTGCCTGTAATCTTAGCACTTTGAATACTGAGGCAGGACTGCCAGGAATACACTGCCAGATCCTGTCTCCAAAAGCTAAACTTTTTTTAAAAAATTACTTTTCTGCACAATTTTCATACTAATCAGGTTCCAGGTGGATGTTTGCAACTCTGGGAGACAGGTGAGGGGAACTGGAGTTCTGAGACTCAAGGCAGGAGTTGCGCGTGACCGTGACAAATGATGAATTAGGGATGGGATACAGTCTAGTGGCAGAACAGTGGACTAACTTTTGGGTTTGTAAAGTTCTGCGCCCAGAGGGGTAGAGTTAATTAGCTCCAACACTGACTTCAAATGTCCTAGTAAATAAACCGCTGCCAAAAGCAAGGGTGTTATTTAGGATGCAAGTTGTGATCGCTTCTCGGCCTTTTGGCTAAGATCAAGTGTAGGATGCACGTTGTGAAATCCTGGAATCTGGATTGGGTACCCAGAGGAGGAGCTGGGGCTCTGCCTACATCGATACCACTCTCCACCCTGCACACTGGAGCCTCTGGCTGCCAGCCTTCGTGACTGGGCATGATGGGCATGGTGCCCCATGGCTGTAAGTCCTGCTACTCGGGAGGCTAAAGCAAGGTTTAATCTTGGGTCCTACCTACGACACCTAGGTTGTGCCTATAATCCCAGCACCCTGGGAGACTGACAAGACTGAAAGTTTGAGTCCAGATGGGACAGTTTAGCAAGATCTTGTCTCTAAATAAAAAGAGCTAGGGATGTGAAAGCCCGGGTACCAGGTAAAAAAAAAAAAGACTGGGAAATCTAGCTTAGTAGTAGACTGCCTCTGGGTTCAATCCCCAGTGCAAGGGTTAAAGGGGAAATTGTTCCCGAGTTCCATCCCTGGTACCAAAAGGGGGGTCATTAAGAAATTGCACATTTAAGATCAGTTTAGCAGTATAATATGTAGTGCTTTGGGGGGGGGGTTATGTGCTGGGGATGGTGCCCAGGGCCAAACCGAGCTACCCATTTCCTTATCTATTAAGATAGGGTCTTACTGCAGGGCGTGGTGGGGCATGCCTGTAATCCCAGCACTTGGGAGACTGAGGCAGGAGGATCACTGGAGTTCGAGACCAGCCTGAGCTATAGTGAGTTGTAGGTCAGTCTTAACTACATAGTGAGACCCTGTCAAACCAAAAAAAAAAAGGGTCTTACTAAGTTGCACAGGCTGGGTTTAAACTTTCAGCCTTCCTGCCTCAGTGTCCCAGAGTGCTGGCATTATGGGTGTGCAGTACCATACCCAGCTATTACTATTTTTGTTACCTAAAAATTACCTTCTAATTCTTTAAATTCACTAGAAAGCAACTCCCATCCAGTATCTGTTTAATGAATAGGCCTTTCCTCCTGGCTTATAATTACTTTCCATTAAACTTATTCACCTTCAAAAATGGAATGCTGCAGTTGAAGCCAGTGCCCATCTGGTTCAAGCCTTGCCCACATAACACAGAGCCCTCCCCAGCTGCTAGCAAGCAAAGGCCAGGTGGCAGAGGAAGGGGACAGCAGCCAGCCAAGAGGAGCATGCTGGGGTGAGCCTGGTACAAGTGCAGAAATAGAGGCAGGGAAAAATGAGACCTTCAAATCAACTGATGACACTCAGTGCAGCCATGGGACAGGAGATGGATTCAGTTGAAATGGTTATTCTAAAACTCAAAACTGCTAGGGGATTTAGCTCAGTGGTGCCGCAGGCAACTGCCTTGAAAGCTCAAGGTCCCGAGTTCAATCCCCAGTACCAAAAAAAAAAAAAACCAAAGCTGCTGTGCCTTCATTTTTGCCAGAATGTTGTAATGAGAACAGGGAAGAAAAAGTTACCGATGTAAACAACGACACAGTTTTTTAAATGTAAAACTTTTTTACTGGCCACTTCCAAGAATGCTTTACAGGTCGTGTAAAAACATTTACAGGCTCTGCCTGGTTTTTCTCACAAAAGCTTTTCCATCTACAACAGACGTCTGATAACACACTAAACAAGTCTTCTAAGGAAAACAAGGCTGGGGTCCCTCCCATTGCCAGTCTACATCCCTGTCCCACTTTGTAAGACAGAAATAAGCCTGGATGACCCTGCTGCTGCAAACGACCGCTGCAACCGGGAGAGAGATGCCAGTTTCATTCTCCTCCCACCTACAAGAACAGCTTTATAAAAAAGATGACTTTGTAGTGTCAAAAACCAACAGCCAACTTTTCCCTAATCTTCCCCCATGAAGCTCAGGGTGGTCTCGGCTTTGTCCCCTGCCAGTGGGTGCTGGCATCCCCATCTGTCTGCGTGATATGGAAAGGCTCTCCTCTTGGGCGGCGGGCAGCTCTGCCTGGCGAGATCAGGCCACTGTCTTAGTGTGACCCTGGGCTCCTCACTTCACCCCCTGCCCCAACACTGAGCAGAGCTTCTCTACACTCCTGAAGGATAGGGTTAGTGGGTTACACAAGCATCCATGCTATCCCTTCACCCACTGCCATGTAAAATTCACTGTGTGGCACCAGCAGAGGCACCACCAGGAGCGAGCAAGCTGCTTTCCCAACAGCCCCACTCGGGCCTCAGGCAGAGGAGCTTGGGTGAAGGGTGCCCTGACAGGAGGCCAGGGTCGGCACACTGCTTGGGTGAGACGTGTTCTCTGGGGCAGACCCAGTGTCCTCTCCTAGGAAGTGCTGGGCATGACACTGAGAAGGGAGGAGAATGAAAACAAGCCAGATATAAAATAGCAGTGTTTCCCATCTGGATCCTTGAATCCTGAAATGTGTGTCAGAAATTAGGCATTGTTGGCCAGTCCAGGAGCCCATACGGGTCTCTTGGCCAAGGCCCTAAGAGAGGGCCCCGCGGCAAGCTCAAAGGAGGCTCCTTTTCACCCTCAAGCACTGGGCCATGGCCCTCCCTCTGCTACATACAAACCCCCCACAGGGCGGCACCCTGCTCTGTAGAAAACTGGCTGCTCGGCACAGGGTTGAGCACGCACCATCTTGTAAGTCCCGCTGCGGGGCTGCGCGTGGAAACCCTGAGAATCAGAATCGCCCCCCCTCCAGCCCCAGAGGTCGGGCAGAACTCCAGCCCCGGCAGGCATCAGACCACGCCCTCACCCTCCTGACAGGGTCTAGGATGCACACCCCTATGTAGAACCCGGACTGGCAGCCTCTGCGCCTCCACCGAGCACGAAGCGCAGCAAAAGAACAGTGAACGGTTGGGCCTCCCAGCCCAGCGGATCAGAGGTCCCAAGAGGGAAAGGTCGGTAAAGAAAATGCAAACGGTTAGTCGGTGAAATGATCGCCAAGAGCCGATCGTTTATTTCGCTGCCCGGTAGGTCGGACTCGGTCAGTCGCAAGCGCCCTGGCCCGCCCTGCCTGCTCCTACCTGCCACAGAGCACCTTCCACCATGGCCCTGCTGCGTCGCCGCCGCCAGCGTCAGAGGTGACACTGCAACTGCAGGGTACAGAACAGGCAGCCCTAGTTCTGCGCAAATGTTTTTGGATTACAAATATCTAACTAGGTTTGAAATGTTTTATAGAATAAGACAATATTCTCTTCAACAAACTTTAAAAAAAAATGTACAGTTTTGTTGTTTCCACC